TAATAATCGAGCCAATGAATTGGGCTCCAGCTCAGCTCGTTGCCACCCCTAGTCTTCATGTTTGCATGTACTGGTGCTCCAAACCCAATAGAAGAATCTTGGCGTCTGCAAAAAATAGCAAAACATAATATTGATCAAAAAGGAAAAAGAGTTATTACTTCCATTTAATTGCCTAACCTTTCTAAGGTCGTTTTCTCCAAATCAATAAAAGCCCCTCCACATATGAAGAGGATATCTTTTGTGTCAATCTGCAAAATGCACGAATACCATACATGTTAAAAAAAATAAAGAATATTTTTCTCTTACAAGAAAAGAGGAAGAGAGGAGAAGAGTAGAGGAAGAAAAATTATGTGAGAGTCAAAAGAAAGTGTTGGCGGCGCCCAACTTCTATTTTATCTTAATGTGATATAACAAATAAAATATAAAGAAATTACAAGTAGGTCCCTGGTGGCACACCCTAAAAATAAAGAAAAGAATATGCTGACAGCAGCCTAGGCTAATAGCATTCTAACAGTAGAGTAAAAACTTAAACCTAACAACACTCCCCCTCAAGTTGGGTTGAATATATCTATCATGCCCAACTTGTCACACAACTCATTGTGCCACAGGTGTGGAAGTCCTTTTGTGAGAATATCAACAAGTTGCTCCTTGGATTTGACATAAGGAGTACAAATTTCTCCCTTTTCCAATTTTTCTCTTACGAAGTGCTTGTCCACCTCAATGTGCTTGGTCCTATCATGTAGGACTGGATTATTAGCAATGTTAATGGCTGCCTTATTGTCACAGTAGAGGGACATAAGATTGTGGACAGTAACCCCAAGTTCCCCTAAAAGGTTCTTCATCCACCCCATGTGCCATAGCTCTATACTCCACTTTAGCACTTGACCTTGCCACTACACTTTGTTTCTTACTTCTCCATGTCACTAGATTTCCTCCTACAAAAGTACAGTACCCACTTGTGGACTTTTTATCATCCACAACACCTGCCCAGTCAGCATCGGTGTAGACTTCCACTTTTAGATGATTACGTTTGCTGAATAGCAACCCTGTGTTCCTGGATACTTCTTCAAATACCTAAGAATCCTCTCTACTACCTCCATGTGTGGTCTCTTAGGGGAATGCATGAATTGGTTTAGGACCCCAACTGAGTAAGCAATGTCAGGGCGTGTCATGGACTAATAAAGCAACCTTCTCACTAATCTTTGAAATTGTTTCACATCTTTTAGTTGTTTACCATCACAATTTCCCAATTTATGGTCAACATCCATAGGGGTATTTGTTGGTTTTGCACCTAACTTGCCTGTATCCTATAACAAATCTAGGATATACTTCCTTTGAGAGATGAAGATGCCCCTTTTTGAGTAGGCAACCTCAATTCCAAGAAAGTACTTTAGGGGACCCAGATCTTTCACTTCAAATTGAGAGGCTAGGAATTCCTTCAATTTTTGTATTTTTGTGCTCCAATTTCTTGTAAGGATGATATCACCTACGTACACTATCAACACAACACTTGTTCTTGACATCTCTTCACAAAGAGTGTGTGATCAGACTGACATTGCTTAAACCCTACTTGTTGAACCGCCATCCGAAATCTACTAAACCATGCTCTAGGAGATTGTTTTAGACCATAGAGGGACTTTCTTAATTTGCACACCTTACTTTCACTTCCTTTGGCATAAAACCTGGGGGTTGAACCATGTACACCTCCTCCTCCATATCGCCATTTAAAAAGGCATTCTTTATATCCAGTTGATGCAATTTCCAGTCAAAGTTTACAACCAATGATAGAAGAACCCGTATTGAATTCATCTTAGCTACTAGAGCAAATATCTCATCATAGTCAACACCATAAACTTGGGTGTACCCTTTAGCTACCAGCCTTGCTTTGTACCTTTCAACTGTCCCGTCTACCTTGTGTTTCACTGTAAACACCCACTTACACCCCATTGGGTCTTTCCCTCATCCACCAACTCCCATTTTTTATTCTTATGGAGGGCATTGATCTCCTCCTTCATAGCATTTGTCCATTCAAGATATTTTAAAGCCTCTACCACGTTTCTAGGTATGAGAATACTATCAACTACAGATAAGAAGGCACAGTGAAAGGGGGAAATGTGGTCATAGGAAACACACTAGTCAATGGGGTGTTTGGTAGTGCATGACTTGACCCCCTTTCTATGAGCAATAGGAATGTCAAGGTCATCCACAACCGAAACGGGGGCTAGGGGATCAATAGGTGTTGGACTTACCTCCTGGGAATCAGACAGTGTTGGTTGTTCACTATTTGGTGGCTCCACATCTTTGTCACATTGCTGATTTCTACGGCGTTGACATTGGAAGACACGAAAAGGAGTGAGATCCGGAATAGAAGGAAGGGAGACTTGACGAACCTGGACTTGCTTCTCCTCTTCCACATTACTCTCCCCCTGAGAAGTAGGGAAGAACGGTTCATATTTAAAAAAAGAGACATCCATGGAGAAAAAGAACTTATGACCAACGGAATCAAAGCATCGATAACCCTTTTGCAAGGAGGGATACCCCAGAAAGACACATGGAATAGACCAAGGATCCAACTTTCCACAAGACGAGGATAAGTCATGGACAAAAGCACAACAACCAAACACCCTCATGGGAATGGAAAATAAAGGAGACTAAGGGAACAATAACTAATGAGGGGCCTTGTAGTTTAACACTCTAGAGGGCATGTAGTTTATGACATAAGCAACAACAAGTACATCATCAATCCAAAATCATTTGAGAACATTCATATGTAACATCATCCCTCGAGCTACCTTAAGGAGGTGTCTATTCTTTCTTTCTGCAACACCGTTTTGTTGTGGTGTTGCACATGAACTCCTATGAATGGATCCATGGGAAGCAAAATTTAGCTCACCATAAAAATATTCCTTCGCATTATCGAATTGAAAAATCTGAATTTCAACTTGCAACTATGCAAACACCATCCTTTGGAAATATCTTATGATCTTTGGGATTTCGTCTCTACTACGCATGGAAAATACCCATGTATAGCGGGAGAAATCATCAATCAATGTGATAAAGTACTTATACCCGCCCTCTAAAGTTATGGTAGTAGGCCTCTACACACCAAAATACACAATATGGAAAGGGAAACTTGATCTTTTATTACTTGAAGGAAATAACGTTCTACATTGCTTGCTCAACTAACACATTTGACAATAGAAATCTGACACTGAACAAGACTTAATAAAAAAAGGAAACAAAGACTTTATTATTTCAAAAGACACATGACCTAACCAATTATGCCACAAAAAAATTTGACCAACTATGCGACTCTGAGGATGACACTGAGAAACCAGCCTTGTTGTCAAGAGTGTAGAGACCATCCACTAAGCTTCCTCTACCAATTGTCCTCCCAGAAGTTAGATCCTAAAAAATACATGAATAAGGAAAAAAGATTACACTATAGTTTAATGAATTTGTGGTACTACTAATAGAAAGAAGGTTGATGGGAAGCTGAGGGACATGCAAAACATTATTCAAGTTAAGTCCTTGAGGAAGGGATATTGATCCTTGGCCTGCAATGGAGGAAAATGATTCATCTGCAAGTCTCACCTTATCCCTTCCTGACAAAAAGCTATAAGACTTGAATAGGTCTGGCAGGTCATGTGATTGGAAGCCCCTGAGTCAATGGTCCAGGGGGAATCAGTGGCAATGGAGAGACATGGAAGGCAGAAGTTGCATTACCTGATGTAGACACAAATGAAGTAGAAGGGTTCCAGTAGTTGATCTGTCCATCTGGCGCAAGGCCCTACCATATGATTCCAAGTGACTACGGAAGGAGTTCATAATATCTTCCTTGGGGTCAGAACCAATGAAGTGCTCTCGAGTAGTATCGGTTGGCACCCCAGCAGACTGAGTTTCTTGGGTTACCACATTTGCTGCATTGTGTGCTGTATTAGGCTTCTTCTGACCCTGTACCTTACCCCGTTCTTGGTTCTTTACAACTCACTTTGGTCTCCCATGGAGCTCCCAACATGTGTCATGTGTATGTCTTGAACGATGGCAGTGGGTGCAGTCTTGCAGAACAACTTATCCTTATCATTCGCTTTCCTGGAGTCATTTTTTTTCCCATATTATTTCCACCCATATTGCAGCTAATGCTACCTGTTGCTCCCCTTAGTTGTAACCATTACACTCCACCTACTTTCCTCAAACTAAACAAGGGCATACACCTCTTGAACTGAAGGCAATTCTTTACTTCCTAAAATCTGAACTCTAATGGGTTCATATATGGGGTTTAGTCCCAACAAGAAGGCGAAAACCCACTATTGAGAAACCAGCTTCTTATAGGCTCTAGCATCATCATCATGTTTCCATTCCTTCCATACTGAGGTAAGGGCTGAATAATAGGTTGATAAGCTACGGTTTCCCTGTTTACAAGTTGAGGATTCAGCTTGTAACTGGTAGATCTTAGCATAGTGCCTTTGCTCAGAATAGGTGGTTTTGGCCTGTTCCCATATCTCATTTGCAGTGTCTACCCACATAAAGTTCTTTTTCTCATCAGATTCCATGGCTGCAAGAATCCAAGACATCACCATGCTGTTTTCTTGGTCCCACCGATCATGTTCAGCAGTCCCACTCTTGGGTTCTTTCACCCTTCCATTTATGTAACCAGCTTTTCCCCTTGCTGTTATATAAAGTTTTACGCCTTTGGCCCACTCCAGGTAGTTCAGACCATTTAAAGGAGTAATCGACATATGGGCTGATGTAACCCCAGTTGAGGCGGAATCATCATTCACCATTTTCGAAGGCAGGTCTACAAGTCAAAACCAAAACTGCAGGTGCACAAGGCCAGTCCTCACACCAGTACTACTTCTAACAGTCACAATTAGGGCACAAAACTCCACACACTGCTTCTGAAAACATGTACATAATACTGAAGGGCTACTAGCAGTAACTAAACAGTCCAGAAATAAGGAGTATACTGCTGTAATCTCCACACTTCACACACCAATTTAAACACAGTACATACCTGTGACAAAGGGGATCACACACCCCTGTACAGCACCTGTACGAAGGTGCAAAAACATGACTAAGCTTTCACAGCATTAGCCAAAGAAAAAAAAGGAAGCTTCACAGCATTGGCCTCCACCAACTAGGGTTACCTTGGTGCTACAACCAAGGAAGAACCCAGAAGAAGCGTAAAAAAATATTTCTGATCAGTTCGATTAGGTTTTTTGTCTTCACAGTCCAAGAAATCTGACAC